GAATCTAAAGGAGCTGAAATTCAATTCTGTAAGTGTTTCAGCCATATGCCTTTGAGAAATTCATATAATGTGGAACATTTTGTCTATGAAATCCTTTAAAAGGGAGTTACATATCTATTAAAAAGCTATGACCAGCTCATACAAAATCTACCAAACTATGTTACATTAATTAAAATTATTCGCATATTTATTTTTAATATTTGGAAGTCATTGTTTATCTGAGATTCTGTTTTATGGAGTAATTCAATTTGGAATATGTCCACCCTGGCCCTGTTTTGAAGGCAGATGGAAGAAGTAAAACTATCAGTTTAGAGTTCAAACACTACTCAAATATATTTCACAGGTTTATACAAAACTGTTCACATCATGAAAAGTACTTTAAAAATTGAAATATTAAGTGAATATGAAAACACAAGAAGGAGGAGAAAGAAAAAGTCACAAAAATATAGACAAAAATAGGCAAACAACATGAATAAGCAATTGACAAAAGAAGTAGATATGGCCCTTAAATATAGTAAAAGATGCCTGACTTCATAATGAGAAGCACAAATTAATCCTTCACTCAGATACCATTTCTCACCTCCTGGATTTTCAAAAATCCAAAGGCTGGACAAGACACTCTTTTGACAGAGTGAGAATTCTCTGTGTATACCTTCCATATAGATTTGAATTTTGAACTATGTAAATATTATACTGTATTAGTCAGGGTTCTCCAGTGAAACAGAACCAATAGGATGAGAGGTAGATTGATAGATGTATAGACAAATACAAAGAAGTTTATTATGAGAAATGGACTCATGCATTAAGGAAGGCTAAATCCCTCAAACTGCCATCTGCAAACTAGAGACACAGGAAATCCAGTGGGGTAATTCAGTATGAGTCCAAAGGCCTAAGAACTGGGGAGTCAATGGTGTATATCCCAATCGAAGGGCAGTAAAAGATCAGATGTCTCAGGCCAAGCAGTGAGACTGTTCTTTTTAGGACTTTTGGATTGGATGATGCCCACCCACATTGGGGAACACCAATTCAAACACTAATCTCATCCAAAAATACCCTTGCAACCAGAAATTATGTTTAATCTGGGCACCTGTGGCCCAGTCAAGTTGACACATAGAATTAATCATCAAGGCTATTCATTCAGAAAACATAAAAAAAAAAAAAAAAAAAAGATGATGCAAGTCTTCTCTAGAACCTTGAAAGCAATAAAAAATTATTTAGGTTGGTGAAAAGTTATTGCAGTTTTTTTTTTTTTTTTTGAGATGGAGTCTCACTCTGTCACCCAGGCTGGAGTGCAGTGGCGCGATCTCGGCTCACTGCAAGCTCTGCCTCCCAGGCTCAAGCCATTCTCCTGCCTCAGTCTCCTGAGTAGCTGGGACTACAGGCGCCCACCACTATGCCCAGCTAATTTTTTGTAGTTTTAGTAGAGACCAGGTCTCACCGTGTTAGCCAAGATGGTCTCGATCTCCTGATCTTGTGATCTGCCTGCCTTGGCCTCCCAAAGTGCTGGGATTACAGGTTTGAGCCACCGCGCCCAGCCTTCTCATTACTTTCAGCTGCAAAAGCTACAGTTACTTTTGCACCAACCTAACATTCATAATTATGAAGAAAAATTATTTCCAACCTTAGATTCTGTATTTAACAATTTATCAAAAGTAAAATATAGAATCTGTTGAGGATATATGGATGTAAAATCTTTTGAGTACTAAATGCTTGAAGTATATTAGCATATAAAATAGACAAAAATGATTGTCCCTTGTGGAACTTTCACTCTAGTAGAGAAGGCATACAATAAATACAATATATAATAAATAAGCAATTTATGGTTAAAAAAATAGATCAAGTAATGGTGGCTGGGGGTAGGGTACCAAGAGAGGTATCGTTCCAGAAAACAAACAACAACAACAACAAAAACCTAGTAGAGTACCTGATGTGTTTTTTAATATTGAAAAGAGTTTTACACTTCTTTCAGAGAATTTGAAAAATAATTAGTGTTGTGTTCATTGAAAACTAAGCAAACAAGAAAGCATTTTTGATTTCATAGAAAATTTAAAAGTTCAAGTCCTTTGGAAAAATATTTTCTTAAACATATTTACAGAATCAAGGTAATACATTGAGTGAATGCTGATTTTTTGACACATAAAACAATGTATTAATATATATCATAATTCTATGAGTCAGGAATTCAAATATGGCATAGTGGAGAAGATTCACCTCTTTTTCTATGACATCTGAAACCTCAGCTGAGGTGACTAAGTTGCTGGGGGCTGAAAGAGTTGGGAGGTGACTAGGCATCTCTTTTTTCATGTGCTTTCTCCACATGACTAGCCTAAGCTTTCTCAAAGCATGGACCCTCGGGGTAGTCAGACTTCTTAAATGGTGGCTCAGGGTTCAAGAAGGAGTGATTCTAGAGATCACCAGTATTAGAAATTTGCATCATATACAAGGCAATGCTCTGAGGGCACAACATCACCTTCATTATATTCCTGCTGAAAATGCACAATTGGAATCCAATGCTGAGAAAACAGACAAGCCCAAACCAAGGAACATTTTATGAAACAACTGGCCCGTATACCTCAAAAATATCAATGTCATGAAAGACAAGGAAAGACGAGGAACTATTTCAGATGAAAGGAGACAATTTGCTAGGACTACAATTACATACCACTGAGTAAATATTGATTTTACCATAAAACGTGAGAAATATATCATAAGGAGGATCTAGGAAAAAATGTGGGTGTTTGGGAATGAATTTAGAGAGCGGAATCCTTACCTTACATAACAAAGTTGACATATAATCTCTAATTGGGAAAATCAATTAAGTGGTAGTATAGCATATTGTTTTCAAACATGAAGACAAATTTCAGAAAAATTAATAGTTAAATAAGTTGAAGGCTGCCACTTCTAGTGAGAAGAGTATTGGGTGAGAAAGAATGATTGGCAAGTATTGTTTTGTGTTAACACCTGTGGTACTATTTGACTTTTAAGTTATGTACACATATTACTATGTATATTCCATTAAATGGTTGCATTATAATGTGTTAAGCAAAGTCCCCATAGATATTTCATTTAGCTTTGTGCATTTCTTCAAGTACTTCCTGAGGTTAAATTCCTAGATTTTGAATTATATCATGGGAACACATATTTAAGATTTTTTTATATATATTACCAAAATGTCTTCCAGAATGTTTATTACAACATCCTGCATCAAAAGTACTGAATGAAAATGCTTGCTTCCCTGGGGTTTCTACAAAACTCTTTAAATCTTTGCTAATGTTACATTAAAACAAAGCAAAAATATTACTTTCTAAATTATATTTCACTAAGTATCAGTCTGGTAACTTTTCATATGTATGTTTCATTGTATGTATTTCTGTTTCTTATAAATGTCTATGTCATTTGCCCATTTATCTATTGAGCTATTTGTCTTTTTCTTATTAATTTGTAAGCACTCTCTGTGCATTGATATAATCCTGTATAGGTCACATAATTTCAAACTATGAAAACTTTTACATAGTTTGTCTTTTGTCATTTTAACTTTGTCTATGACATTTTGTCACATAGCTTTATGTTTATATTTCATGTTTAAGGCATTTGACTATATAGTTTATCTTTCTTTGGCACTATTCTCTTTTTATCATTTATGCCTTGAATGGGATTATTGCTGTGTTGTCATAAGTATTTTATATTCAGAACAAGAGCTTGAATCTAGTCTATTGTGAAGGATGAAAGAAAGTATTTTTTCAGGGAAATCACTTATCAGATTTATATTTTCTAAAAATCAATGTGGTTTTGTTTCAAGCACCACAAATTATTTGACATTTCTCCTATCAATGGGTGGAATCTATGTTCCTTCCTCTTGAATCTGGGCAGGCTTGTAACTGCTTCAACCAACATGGATTGACAGAAGTGATACTATTTCACTTTCAAAGCCAAAGGTCATATATCTTCTATCTGGTTCTCTTTGGAGGCTCACTCTGGAATAAGCCAACTTCCATTTAAGGATTCCAATTACACCATTCTGGAGAAGTCCGTAGGCACATCTGTCAGCAATCCAAACCTTCTAGTCATCTCTGCCAAGACACCAGACAGGTGAGTAAAAGAACTTCTAGAGGATTTCTGTCTCCAGCCATTTGTCACCCCCAGCTGTTTAAATAATCCCAAATTAAGCCTCAGACACTGAGGAGTAGAGACAAGCCATCCCTACTATACCCTATCACAATTTCTGACTCCTAGAATCCATGAATATAATAAAATGATTGCTGTTTATACTACTAACTTTGAATGGTTTGTTCACAGCCATAAATAGCTGAATAATCACGCTAGCAACAACACTGGCAATGAATTAGAAAAGGGAATGAAGAAGTCCAATTAGGAGGCAATTGCAAGTGTCCAGAAGAGACACAGAGAAACCTGAAACAAGCTTAGAAGGAAAATGGGAAGAAATTTAGAGAGTTCAGAAGCTGAATTTGCAACATACACATATCACAAAAATAGATTAGTATTAAAATATAACCTTTTAGACTGCTATATCAGAAAACTAAGCCACTTATCAGCCTAAGCCTCTATCAAACATGAGTCCATAACTAATTTATAGAAAAATGAAGTAATTTTCTTCCCAAGTGTCACACTTTTTACAAATCATGCATTCTTCCACTACAACTTTAAAATTTTTTCTTTTGTAACCAGAGGATCACAGGTAAGTCAGGGCTCACTGAGGGAGCTCAGGGGATAATAAAATCAAAGGAAACCCGGCTTGAATATGTGACAATGGCACACAATTTAGTCACAGAAATAACACATAAGCAGTCTTTTAATAAAGAAGCTAAAGGGTTATTTTTCACCCTCTGAAAAGCAAATTGTCTTAATTGGCTAAGATCGGAAAATATCGACAGGGTTCCAGAAGCAATATAATATTGGGACTTTAAACCAGTTCAAATTATCTTAGAAGTAAAAGAGAAAGATGGAGTCCATTAGCTCTATTTGAAAACAATAGTGGCAGTTGCAGTCGTGTGCTCCGAGTTCCTGTCTCTCTGCCAACAACGCCCGGATGGCTTCCCAAAACCGCGACCCAGCAGCCACTAGCGTCACCGCCGCCCGTAAAGGAGCCGAGCTGAGCGGGGGCGCCGCCCGGGGTCCCGTGGGCAAAAGGCTACAGCAGGAGCTGATGACCCTCATGAGGTCTGGCGATAAAGGGATTTCTGCCTTCCCTGAATCAGACAACCTTTTCAAATGGGTAGGGACCATTCATGGAGCAGCTGGAACAGTATATGAAGACCTGAGGTATAAGCTCTCACTAGAGTTCCCCGGTGGCTACCCTTACAATGCGCCCACGGTGAAATTCCTCACATCCTGCTACCACCCCCAACGTGGACACCCAGGGTAGCATATGCCTGGACATCCTGAAGGACAAGTGGTCTGCCCTATATGACGTCAGGACCATTCTGCTCTCCATCCAGAGCCTTCTAGGAGAACCCAACATTGATAGTCCCTTGAACACGCATGCTGCCGAGCTCTGGAAAAACCCCACAGCTTTTAAGAAGTACCTGCAAGAAACCTACTCAAAGCAGGTCACCAGCCAGGAACCCTGACCCAGGATGCCCAGCCTGTCCTCGTGTTGTCTTCTTAATTTTTCTTTAGATGGTCTGTCCTTTTCGTGATTTCTGTATAGGACTCTGTATCTTGAGCTGTGGTATTATTTTTGTTTTGTTTTTGTCTTTTAAATTAAGCCTCGGTTGAGCCCTTGTGATGTATATTAAGTAAAAGCATTTTGGTCCTTTTTTTTAAAAAAAAAAAGTAAGGCCAGTTTGTTACAGCAGGTGAAACTGTTTAAACCATTACTTCCTAATTGGGATCCTTTGCTTTCTCTGACTTGTTGAGAAGCAGATTAACAGGTGATTTTAACTGTTTGTCCTGACTCAACACTTTTGCTCTAGACTTTGTAACTTACCTGGGCCTTTCAAAGCCAAAGTGCCTATATGAGTAATCCATATATTAAAGTACCCCAATTCTACACTGAGAGTTTACCCAGGGGCTAGTAGAGTTAGACATTAGAAGAGGTTTATCATGGTGAGGAAAAAGTGCATTTAGTTCACCGATATTATCTAGATGATACTGATTTGTATGCTTCCAAATCTCAAAAGGCAACATTACCTTGATAAAGTCTAGTCTAGTCCTAAGTCTCACATGTAAGTAGACCCAGAGATTTTAAGAATTTCCAGGTTTGTTTTTTGAGACTGAGTCTCTCTCTGTCACCCAGGATGGAACACAGTGGCACAATCTTGGCTCATTGCAACCTCCACCTCCTGGGTTCAAGTAATTCTGGCTCAGCTTCCCTAGTAGCTGGGATTACAGGCACCCACCACCATGCCTGGCTAGCCAATTTTTAATATTAAAAACAGGCCACATTTTCATTAAACTTGAGGAAAGCCATATCTAATGATTATCTAGAATGTCAGACTCTCCTGTGCATGGGGAATCCCTTCTTCCAAACACCAAGAAACATGGAAAGTCAAACTAATATTCAGAAAACAAAATGGTGACTATGAAGTTAAAATGAAAATTGGTGTATTCATGTGACAAATTTTTTTTTCCAAGCTGTTATGAAAATTGACGAGCTAGACTCTTCCGACCACAGAAAATGCTAATCAAAGGATGAGACAGCTCGATGTTTACAAGCGAATGTATTTAATACCATAGGTTGAGCTCTTTAAGGAGCCAGTAACACCCTTTCCCTTCACCTTACCAGTAAGAAGTGAATACAGAGGTTATGTAGGGTTCAAATTTTTCACTTATTGCTGGATTGTGGATTTCAACATGGACTTGCAGCCATATTCAGTCTTCCTGTGTCTTCCCTTCAAGTCTAACCCTTGAGCTACCCTCCTGGAGAGTTGGGTCTACAAAGCAAGATATCACTAAGCCAACCGAAAGTGGATGTATTAGTCCGTTTTCATGCTGCTGATAAAGGCATACCCAGGACTGGGCAATTTACAAAGGAAAGAGGTTTAATGGAAAACTCACAGTTCCTTGTGGCTGGGGAAGCCTCACAATCACGGCAGAAGGCATGGAGGAGGAACTCACATCCTACGCGGATGACAGCAAGCAAAAACAGAGAGCCTATGCAGGCAAACTCCTGCTTATTTAAACCATCAGATCTCGTGAGCCTCACTCACTATCACGAGAACAGCACAGGAAAGACACGCCCCCATAATTCAATCACCTCCCACTGGGTTACAATTCAAGATGAGATTTAGGTGGGAACACAGAGCAAGAATATATCAGTGGTGTTGCAGCTACTGAACAATCTGTTTGCCAAAAAGCTTCCTGAGAGCTTCCGAAGCAGTGGTAGTTAAGGCTTGACTCTTGAAGATGGTCCTGATCCAGGTGTACCAACCACATAAAAAAGAAAGTCCAGAAAGGTCTCAGTGATTTATGCTCGGTCCCTTTCATTAATCTTGCCAATCATGTATCCATTCTTTACTGCTTGAAAAGAAGGGAGGGTAGAAAGTGGTGGTAGTGCAGAAGAAATAGCGGGAGCTCTGTTCCCAGTTCTTCTGAAGGAGCTGTTCTTGTTTTGTGAGTCTAAGTGAAAACATTACATCAAAGAGAATATAGCTCTTTCTTTGCTTTCTGCTCTGTGGAGCCAGGCAGGGTAGGAAAGGCAGATTCCAGGGATCGAAGAATTTAAAGCCAGAGTTATTGTCAACATTCCCATAGTGAAACACAGCTCTCCTTCACTAGCCCTAAATGGTGCCCTATAGAACCCTGGAAGACCTTCCCAGGGGCACGTCACAACCTCACTGATGCAAAATGTCCTCTTTGGGACTACCAGAAGACACCATGTAGTAATCTTGTAGGTAGATGGCTGCTGAGTACTATAATGAACATCTAAAATTAACATCCTCTCCTTTTACTTTGTATTACCAATGATTGATTTTTTATCCTTTTTAAAAGAATATAATATAACTTGGAAACATTTTGGCTAGATACAGCTCAGTGGACTTAAAACAATGTGCTATATTTGAAGAATTGGGCATCAAATTATTTTTGAAAAGCTTGCCAGTGACTTCAATAAGATGAGAACTATTAACATGAACTTTTAAAACAGCAAGTTTCGAACATTTTTTAGATGTTTCCTGCACCAGATGCTGTAGAGTACAATTTAGATCCTCCCTGAAGACCAAGGCGTTCTTTTCCTCAGGTGCTGAGAATCTTGCCTACTGAAGATTCACAGCTGAGTCCATCTACAAGCATTGCCCTTCACTTAAAAAAGCTGTTTCCTTCAATCCTGCCCAAATGATGTCCCATCCTGGGAGGCAGCCAATATCCAGTGACTGATCATTGTGGAATTAACACGTCCTAACTCTCTTGCCTTAATTTGGGAAAACTCTTAAGGATCAGCTCAGCGCCAGTGTTTCCTGTAGGATCAATGTTGCAATAGCATTAAAATTCACCTTTTATTTTTTCCCCATCCTCATTGCTCTTGACTGCAATAAATTATAGTTGTAGACTAAAGAACAGGTCCAATTCTTCTTGCCTTTTCTTTCTTTCTTTCTTTCTTTCTTTTTTTTATTTTACTTTTTTTTTGAGACAGAGTCTTGTTCTGTTTCCCAGGCTGGAGTGTGGTGGTGTGATCCTGGCTCACTGCAACCTCTGCCTCCTGGGTTCAAGCAATCTTTTCTCCTGCTTCAGTCTCCCGAGTAGCTGAGATTACATTCACCTGCCACCATGCCCAGCGAATTTTTTGTATTTTATTAGAGACGCGGTTTTGCCATGTTGGCCAGCCTAGTCTCAAACTCCTGTTTGCCCGGGAGCTGGTATAATTTCAAGTCATCTGTTAGACATTCAAGTGGAATCTTAAGTAAATAATCTATTACTGCCTAGGACTAGGCAAGTTTGGAACAACCCTAAAACCAGTAGCACTCTTCCATCTAAAGAGGAAGTTCAAGTCCTGTAACCCTTCATCACTTAGTGTCAAGGCTAAGATACAGTTGGTTCTCAGTACTAGTGTAAAAGGTTTTGGAGATAAATGTTCTTGCTTCTGTGTAAACTGCCTATATTTGAGAGATCCTCCCATGGCCCTCCCTTTAGGATTGCTTGGTGCCTTTTTCCATTCTGTCTTCTCTCACATATATGGGGCAGAAGGATGAGCAAGAGCTATCTACCACTTGTCAGGGCAAACACTGCCACTTTTAAAAAGCCAAACAAAGATCAAATATCAGAATGAGATGCAAAGAAAAGAGGATATGGAGGGAATGCCTTAGGCCAATTACTCTAGGTTTTATGGTATAGTATCCCCAAGAATAATATTAAGAAGAGACAGTGAGGGTAAACTACTCTTCAAGACATTGTCAAGAAGATGAAGGCAGGAGATGAGACAAGAAACAAGGTATAGATGTTTTAAGTATAAAGGGATTCTGTGCTGCTTTGTTCCTAAAGATTACTCAAATTAGTTATTTTGTTGAAGGGCAGGCATCAGTAAGAAAAGACAGTTACAAGGTGGGAAATCTGGAGAGAGTAACTGATAAACAACTTCCTTAAGAAGTCTACATGGAAATAGACCAAAAGCACAGGGAAAGACATCAACTTTAAAGTGGAAGAATATTTCATCTTCTGAGACAGGCAATAAAAAGAGGGAATGTAAAGAGGTAGAAAAATTGGGGGGCTAAGAAAATTATGTATATTGAGAAATATATACAAATTTCTGAATAAAATCAGAATTGAATTTATCTGCTGAATGTGAGACAGGTCAAGGGAATGTTAGGGACGTAAGAAATGTGGAAAAGCTGAGGTGCATTTGCCCTAAAGGAGATAATAGGGGTTAATCAAGGGACTGAATAAACAATTTGCTAAACAATAGCAAGGATCTAGATAAGATTAAAGAGCTTGAATTTGTGATGTATTCATTCAACATAATTCTGTGATCAAGGGCTGACTTCTTAAAAAAAATAAATTGAGGTGGTAGTTGGGTGCCTAGATTTGGAGAGTGACCAGAAAGGTAGCAAAAGTTTGCGTGATGGTGGGGCAGTTGGGAAGGTAGAGTACTAACAGGTGAGAGCGAATGCACAGTTGTATTAGATGATCAATGAATCCATGCTGAGTGAGATAGAATAGGAATAGAACAGAAAGAACAGCAAGAGCCAAGGAGCTAGATATCATACTGAAGGTTACAGCAAGAGCCACAAGTAGCTGAGAGAACCAGTAGGCTGGGAAGCTTAAATCAGGTGAGGACAATTAACTGAGAGCACTTTAGACAGGTTCTATTGTCAGACTGCAAGAGCTAGTTCCACCTTACTACCTTACTAAGCAAGGAGATGAAGTAAATAGAATTGTTGTGAGAGTCCATACGTGAACACATTTAAAGTACTTAGGTCAGGGCCTGATATGTACTGTTCACTCAATAAATGTTAAGCTATCATTATATTCCAGAGTTTACCATTGTAGAGGTTCCAAAATCAAAACAGGTGAAGCATTACTCAAATTGATAATGCATAACTTATAATGGTGTATCATTTTGCTAATGGAGAGGTATCATTGAGAATAGATGGCTTTATGCCATCAGGAAGCTGAGGTTTACTGAAGGCAAATGTCACTGTATGCATATAGAAACAATTTACTAAGAAATTCTATCTTCTGGAGCTCTACTCTCAGTGTCTAGGAATGACAGGAAGAGGATATATTGATATTTATAAATTGAGGCATATTTAGTTGGGAAAAATTGTTTTTGCTTTTCCGATTAATTTTGCATTTGGGTGCCTCAAAACCACAGTATTAACTATATCCAC